ATTTGCAATATGACCTTGAGCAACAAGTTTAAGCAAGCGGGTTGTTTGAAGAAATGGTATGGGGACAAATAATTTCCTACTGCCCTTTTCACCTACAGTAGAAGTCCCAAGGATAGAGGCTGCTTTTTGGAACTTACCTATTTGAGCTTTAGGAGTTAATATTATCCTCTCGAAAGGCCTGGCAACAACTCTAACACTTCCGAGCTTCCTTGCTGTTTTCCAGACCTTTGAAGGTCATGATGCCTCTGTCCTGAAGATCATTTTTGTAAGCCGAGGAACACAACTGCTCAGCAGGTGAGTACCTACACCAGGAGTTTAGAGGAAGATGTCAAACCTAATCAGAAGAGAAATCTCTTCGCTGATATCAGCTGCAAGAGGAGAGCGCCTTGTGCAGTGGATTTAGTTTTGGAAAGACCAATAGGAATATGCCACGTTTATGCCAAGCTTTCTGCAGGGGATAACTTACCTTCCTCTTCTCTAGTTATGCTGTGGATTCTAATTAGCTGCTGTGAATTGCTGGGTTGGCGATGTACGCTATGGTTAGGCAGAGCTAAGGGCGCATCTCGCCCTACTGCCTTTGGTGAGGGCGAAGCAGCCAGAGCGAAACAGTTATTGGTACCTGGAAACACCACCAGAGCATATGAGGAAACATAGGTAATAGGATTTCCCAAGAAGGAATCGCCTGAAGGAATGCTGGTAGTACTGGCAACTACGTGTTTGGAATTCTCAAGCTCTTTTGACATTTTTGGTTAATTCTGCTCCTGTTTGAAAGGCATTGGAATGAGACAAGTTTATCTGATATTTGAGGTGGGGCAGAGTGAGAATGGATCTATCCAGTGATTCTCTGAGTGAAATTTGTTGTTTCTTTCTGTTCCAAAAGCGGTTCTGATGGTCTCTTGAAACTCTGGACAATTAAAACAAATGAGTGTGTGAAAACATTAGATGGTCATGAAGATAAAATCTGGGGTCTTCACTCTAACAAGCAAGATGATATGGTTGTGACAGCATCCAGTGACTCCTGCATCACGCTGTGGAAGGTACAGTACAGCGTCTTTCTGTGTTTCCTCTCTAGGTTAGGAATCAGAATGCAGTTGGAGAGCTCGGGATCCCAGGGGCTTGTTCATCACTGTCCCAACATGACATGTACTCTCCTCATTTTCTGCACTTTGAAATTGCGTCTGTAAGGCATATCTTGGGGTTTGGGGTGGGTTTTTTTTTTTTTTTTGGCCATACTATAATTCCCCAGTTGATGTAAAAAGAACAGCAGATGGGCCTTAGCAGCCTGCCCAGTGCTGGTGTTCTGAAGGTGGTTTGGAGGGAAGTTGCAAGTTGCTGGATTTAACGCTTAAATTACTTGACCTAGAGATCTTGCTACAAAAACTGGTCTCCTAATCACCCGATGGCTAAATAAAAATCAATCTGTATTAAAGCAAGATTTGACAAAGTTATATTCTGGGTTTTTTTTAATAGGATGTCACTGAAATTGAAGAGAAAGAGGCACAAGCTAAACAGGAGGAGCAGATTATGAAGTAAGTTGATCCTGTGCAATAACGAGCTGTGAAAGGCAAACTCTGTCCAGTGAAACTGTCCCCACCTAGAGCCATCCAGCTCCATCTAATCCAAATATTACATCATTTAGCTATTTAGAGGCTGTTAAGGCACAGTAGTCTCTTCTTCTTTGTAGTTTATTTTTAGTTCCTGCGAAGCCTTGCTATAATACTGTCGGCTTGACAATTGATTAGTTTCTTGTTTATGCACTGCTAAGATAAGCAAAGTCAAACCGCCAAAACCTACTTTCACTTTCTCCTGCTTCAGCCAGCACTAAGTAGTTCAGGGAGCCCTTGAACATGCCAGAGTAATTATCTGCACAATGAGGGCACTGAGGCATTCATTGGCAAGTGGTGTTAACTTCTTGGCGTTAAACCTCTGCACGCTATTATTGCCAAATCTGCTCCTTTCTGTATAGCGTTTTTTTTCCACCAACCAAATATTTGTGTCAATCTCTTGACCCTGATTTGTTTTCCAGAGAGCAAGAGCTTTCTAACCTGCTTCATGAGAAAAGATATCTCAAAGCTTTAGGGTTGGCAATCTCTCTGGATCGTCCACACACAGTGTTAATGGTGGTCAAAGGTGAGTCCACGTTGTTCTCTGAAGGCCTTTTTCCGTCCTCTGCTTTCCAGAACATCTCTTCCGGGTAGACGAAGACTAGAAAGCCTAATTGGCTGAAAGTCTCAGTTTTCCCTTTCTCTGATGACTCCCATTTTCCTAAGTGAAATCACCCCCCGATAACAAATGGTCTCCCTGCTCTCAGCTCATAGGTGCATGGGCTGGACCCTGCATGGACTCTCAATTTCTCTTTCTGCAGCCATCCTCAAGGAAACTGATGGGAGGAAGCACTTGGAAGAGAACATTGTTCGGCTGCGGAAGGATCAGAAAGGTTTGTTGCAACGTGGTTTAAAGTGGTAAAACCATTCAGGTTAGGGGCTTGTGCTCTCAACCGAAATTAAAAGGAGAAGAATCCCCCTAGACTCAGCGTTTACCACTGAGCTCCCACCATGCCGAAGCGGGACTGGTGCCCAAGGTCAGCTTCTTTGTTACAGTGCTACGCGTGGTGCACACCAGCAGCTGCGCTGAGCTTGTGTGAATGGCTCTGTGTGTGCATGGCTTTGCCTGGCCTTACCACCCCTTTGGTTAGGATGTTCCTGAGATAGCTCCAGAAACAGTTCTGCGCATAGTTGTTCTGCCCCTCTGGGCTCGTGGGTCGCAGTGTGTGGGAGTTGAACCCCTCTGTAAGACAGAAGAGATGCTGTCTAACTTGGCGTTTCCTGCGCGCCAGCACCCGCAGCACAGCTGACCTGTGCAACTGTCCTTTCTCCGTAGAGGCGGTGTTAGCGTTCTTGGTGACGTGGAATACGAACTCTCGAAACTGCCACGAAGCCCAAGCTGTCATTGAAACCCTCTTGAAGCACGAAGCACCGGACAGCCTCCTGCAGTACTCGGGCATTAAATCTGCTGTGGAGTCCCTGCTGCCTTACACCGGTGAGTCACGCTGCAGGGACGGGCTGTGCGCCTGACGTCTCCTCCTGTCTTGTGAATGTTCCCGGTTTGCTTTGGTCTAAAGAAAAGGGAGATTTTTGCACTCCATTCTGGTGAGCTTTCTCTCCTGTGATGCTAATCGTTGCATTTCTCTCTTTGCAGAGCGCCATTTTCAGAGACTGAGCCGATTGCTACAGGCCTCCATGTTCATCGATTTCATGTTTCAAAACATGAGGCTGGCTGATGCAGCCCAGCAGGAGGACATGACTTCGTGACCCTCCTCCCACCAGTTGCCCTTTCTGGAGGGGAGAGCCTGAACCGTCTTCCCACCAGGTATGGCAACTGGACTATTCCTGTATTTTATAATAAATTTTTAAAGTTTGAATTTCTAAAACAAGTCCAGCATTCAGTCTTCTTGGGGCTCAGTGAGGGGAAGGGGTCATTTCTTTGGCCAAGCTGTGGTTTCCCTTTCTGTTTTCACACCCTGGATTTTCAGGTCCAGACACTTAAACGGCAGTTAGTTTGGAGAAAAGGCAGAACCTGGCTCTGAACAAGCATTTGGTCTTTACTGGGAATTTAAAGACTTTCTGGAGTTGGAAGACACTACTGGCAATGTCGTATTGTATCCCAAAGCCCAGATAGGCAGCGTGTATTCATCAGTGATATGTCACGGAATATTTTCTTTGCTTGGGCAAACTGCAGCCTGGGCCAAGGCAGGTCTCTCACCTGTGCCTGTCCTGAATGTTAGCGCCTGGGAGGGAGATAAGCGCGATTTTAATTCCCCAGCTAGCAAATTTTTGAAGTATAAAAAACACGCAGTCTTCATACATATTTATGTGTATTTTATTTTAGTCTCTAAAATAAATGTAACAAAAATGTATAAAATTTAGAACAACATAAACACCACAAGTTGGATAAAAAGCTTGTTTAAAAAAAATTAACAGATACCTGGGAGAATAACTAAAATTAAAGGTAGCAATCTATATAAAAGTCTTTAAGTTTTCCTACAACTATTTTTCTAACTCAATTCTAGCAAATGAGTTTAGGATGAGGATTGCTGTGAGTTTCTGTATCTATCAGACCCCTTTGAAAGGGGAATATTGTGCTCATAAAAATGAGCTCTGGCTCCCTTGCCCAGTTGGGAAACAAACTGTACTACAACCATTTTTGTTTCTGAGCCTGCACAGACATCTCTGTAGGGAACCGTCAGAGATGAGGTTCTTAGCCAACAGGTTTTTCTTGGACTCACAGCCGTTCAGCAGATCCAATCAACTCCTATATTTGATGGCCAGTTCTCCCCTATCCAAGTTGATCTAACATTAAAAAAAAAAAAAACAAAAAAAAACCCCAAAACAACACCCCCCCCCAAACCCTAAACAAACACCAAAAATAAAATAGTTTAAAAAATATGTATAAAATAGGTGGTTCAAATAAATGATGTTCACACAGCTGCAACATCCCATCACTACCCCATACCAATAACTGTAGCTCTGGATTTCACAGAATCACAGAATGGTTAGGGTTGGAAGGGACCTGTCACTGACTGTCAGGGTGTCACTCCGCTGCTCTCCAGGGTGGCTGCAGCACTCTGCCACCTAGCCCTGGTGTGGGGAGTAACGCAAGAACGGTTGTGACATTTTCACATACTACGCTGCAGGATAAATACCTGCCTGAGGGAGAATTAATGGAATCTGAAGCGACTGCTGACTTACACAGGAGCTGCCAGATCCGCAGCTGCCATGACTCCCCTGGTAAGTTAAACCGCTAAATCCTTTCCCTCTAACCCCATCTTTGATTGTGTGTTCCCATCAGGATCTAACCGTGTCGTTGGAAAACAACAAGTCCCAAGCCCTGGCGCTCCCCACACCACTGCCCATGGCTCCTGTGGGACATTGTCAAGGATGGTTCCTGGCTCTCAGTGGTGGTGCTGGCCCAGGGCCGGGTCCATGCCTGCCCCAGGAGCACTAGTGCACACTCGGGACAGGGAGCAGTGCCTGCAGGGCAGGCCGGGAGGAAGACTGCTGCACGGCTCGCTTCGTGATGGTGCTGCACCTCTGGAGGATCTCGTGGGCTGAGGGGCGCACAGGCACCTTGGGGACAAAAGTGCCCAAGTCTGGGTCAGCGAGGGAGTTACTTAGATCAGCTGCAGATGACTCCACAAAGCCAGAATCGTTCCTGTCCTTGTGAGTGAGGTGCGGAGACTTGGTGCTGTGCGTGGCCAAGGCATGCCCCAGGGGAGAACCCCTGGCCTGTTCCACTTCGGGCAGAGATCTTGACAATTCAGGCTTCCAGCTCAGCCGGCCATCACGCTCGCTGCCGCTCCCCGAGCTGAGGGATGAGCTGTCTGACTCCAGGTCCGGGGTGGAGCTGGCTCTGGGCAGAGACCTTGATCTGCTTCTCACAGAGCTCACGTCCTCTTCAGTCTGGTCAAGGGAAGAGCCAGCCTGCACCCTGTGCTGTCCCGTGGCCTCACCCTGGGGCTGGGGAGTCATCGGAGAGGAGGAGAGGTTGGGAGTGGAGACGTTGAGCCCGCAGCTTATGATGGTCTGGAGTTTGTGGTGAGGATTCTTGTAGGGCTGGAGGTACATGGAGGGCACATAGCCGGTACGGCCGTTGTATCTGAGGGGGAAGGATGAAAAGCAACACTGAAAAGAGCCCTTCTCCCAGGGGAGAGGGGAGGGAGCAGAGCCCCCGGGGGAAGCAGGTGAGGACTCAGCCCAATGCTGTACATGAGGCATGAGGGAGGGGAAAACCATCCCTAGCTGAGGGCAGTCAGCTCAGGGGCAGCTCCTCTGCACCCCGCTTGGGGAGGAGCAGGCCAGAAGTGCCTGCAGCAGGTAACCAGTTCTCTCAGGGAACAAGAGCTTCAGAAAAAGCCTCCTTACCGGATCAGCCACCAGCCATCGTCAGATTTCTTGACCACCTCCACGACAACGCCATTGTTCAGCGAGAGCTCGTCTGCCTTCTGTGACTCATAGGCCCTCACAACAAAGTACAGGCTGCCTGTGGAGAGAAGGGGGAGGTCGATTTTGCCTTGCAGAGAAAATGTCTCCGTTCCTGCGACCAACCAGCTCAGCAGCCCTGGGGAGCAAGCGAGAGCTGCAGGGCAAGTGTCCCCGAGGGTGGCTGATTTGCTCAGAGACCCACAGCTGATGGCAGAGCTGATCAGATGCATCAAAGATCCAGGCAGGGACTCCAAGCAATAGTTAAAGCAGTGGGGTTTTTACAAAACTCATTTTTTGAAAGAGGAACGTCGTGTCCCAGAGAGCCAGAAGCAGACTTACCTTCCTCGTTTGAGCTGAAGGCATTCTGGATATCCTTGTGGGCATCAATGTCTTCCAGGTAGGAGGCTGGGAACCAGGCTATCTGCTTGTCTGCGTTTTCCACTAGCCACCATCCTGCAGTAAACAGAAAAAAAAATATATGTTTTTTAACAGCCTGGTGACCATAATCCCTTGGTAGGAGCTGCTCTGCCACGAGAGAGGGACATTCTGCAGAGCAGCTTGGTGCCTGGCCAATGCTGTGCTGACACTTGGTTCTTTCCTCCCGTGTAAATCCAGGTAAGCACATACACGTACAAACACCCACTGTACCCATGATGCTACCAATTCGGCATCTACCAAGCTATGAATCAATCTAAGCCATCCGTCCCCAAAACTGAAGAATCCTTATCAAGCATACCAGTCATGTCCTTGATTAACACTTCAACAATTTCCTTCTTGGCGACTTTGAAAGTCTTGTTCTTTGTGTCTTTGGTTTCAAAGGTTTCGATGCATCTGTAGCTCTGGGATGCCTGGGGGTGTGTAATAGAGAGCTGCTGCCGTGGCTGGTTTTTCTTTCCCCCTCCAATTTCTGATGGCATGATCACAACACTGAAAAGCAAAGTTTAATATCAGTATACTGAAAACTCACATGGAAGGTTGAGTTTAGTATTAATTTTGGTAAAATCATCTATGCAGTAGGCTAAGAAAAACTTAGGCATCAGAAACAACATCAACATACATCAAAGCATTCAGTAGAACCTCCCTGCCCCGGTATGTAACTTGTTTCTTATCTATCCGTATTCTATAATATTCTTGTTTTATGAAGACACATACAAACAAAAAATACAAATATAATTTCACACCTGTTCTCAGGAAAGGAGGGATCTAGGTCTTGGGTCTGTGCCTTGAAAAACTGAATCACATCTTCACCCTGCGAGATCTTAGCATCCGTTTTCAGCAGCTCCTGGCAGTAAGTTTCCAGCAGTTTCAGTATCTCCAGGCACCTGTTCAGCTTCCCACTCTTCCTGTGCTTCATATTTACATCTTTAAAATAACAAAAGCAAAGTTGGTATAAGACAACAATGGATCTGGATGCTTTGAGAGCAGCATCTTTTGCCTGAGCACGGACGTGCCGTCACCTACTGCCTTTCCCCACACAAGCCCAAACTGTAAGAAGCTGAGACAGCAGTTGTCTCTGCCTCCCTGTCATTTTTAATAGCTCCTGATACAACTTTTTAATATCTAAAATTCATCTTTGTTCATGCATAAATGTTGCAAGGAGCTCTGGGCCAATATTTAAAGTGTAATATTAACTTACCAAGTGCAACTCCCTATTAAAAAAGTCTTTCTGGGTTATTTTAAGTCGGTAATAGACCCAAGTGCATTGATGTAACCCAGCAGTACCATGCCAGGAGCAGGAGTGAGCTGTTAAGCTGTTCCAAAGGAAGGTCAGACTCAGAGATTGAAGTCTGTGTCATTAATTACAACTGTCCACAATAGCTCTATCGTGTTTGTTCGTCCATCGGGGATTTGTTCTCCTTACCTTTAAACCGAGGTATTGTCCGGTCAGATCTCCTGAGCGAGCCATTCTCAATGGGGAATTTTCTCTTCAGCTCTTTCTAAAAGTGAGGAGGAGGAGACAAAGGTGATGCTTTGCAGCCCTGACACACGGCTGGACTCCTTCCCCTCTCCCCTTGATGGGAATCCTATTTTCAGGGAAATATTCACTTACATGGAGATTCTTAAAGTCTTGAAATGTCCGGTAGATGAGGATTTTGTTCTGATCTGACCAAGACACAAACATCATGTAGTTCTGTAAAATAAAAGGGAAGAGAATTTTAATTTAAGTGTTCAATATTGGATGCTTTCAAGCATCAGTATTTTCCAGGACCTGTGGTTTAATTCTGTCTTCAGGCTGCAAGACAGACACATCAAAAAATTAAACAAAACGTGAGACCTACAAAAATATTTCCTTAATTTTAGGGCCCCAAATGGGTAATCATTGTTAAAACCAGAAGAAATTAATGACACTGTGAACAGAAAGACAGCAGAATCCAGGATAACCATTTTCTTATGATATTAAGACCATTAATAAACAAGTCCAAGACCCCTGTCCTAGATCACAAGGCTCTAATCCCAACACTGCGTAGAAATGAGTAAGTATACCCCTATACGAGTAACTCAAAAAGCCTTCCAGTTTCCTGATTTAAATATTTAAGGAGAAAAAAAAAAAAATCCAACAAAAGCAAAAAATAATTAAAGTACCTTCTGCTTTCTGCATTGCATCAAGCCTACAGCCTTTACATCCACTGGGTACCTGCTGCAGCTCATCTTCCCCCAGCCTGCTCCTCCTTCTCCAGAGCAGAGATGTGTCTCCGGGCACGACTCCCGTGGTTAAATACTCCGGAGCGGGAGGCACGGCACAGGCGTTCCGCACTTCCTCCTCCGCCCAGTAACGCTGGCAGAAATTCCGTAATTTGGCAAACTACCGCGTGCCTTTTACCTGCCCCCCTGCTTTTAACACGCAAATCCTCCCAGGTGCAGACGGCAGGGGCATAGTTCAGAGAGCTGGAGAGGAGAAGCATCTTATCTTATCACATCCTTACCAAAATCATGCCGGTAAGCGAGCCTGGCCCTGCGGCTGGGTCCGGTTATCATCCCTGGGTGTCAGGGAGGTCACTGGGGCAGCAAAACCGGCTGTGAAGTGAAGTACATTTCCAGGGATGGACATGTTGTGTTTATGGTTATATTGCACAGACGTGCCCGTCGGAGTTGCCTGCAGCTCAGGCTGCGCTCACACCAGTCCCCAAAACAGATTAAGAAGATGGTTTGTTGTAAAGCACCAATCAGGCACAATTTGACGTGTGTGCAAGCTGTTACAAATCTCTTTTCTTTACTGCTCTGTCCCACGTGCTGAGATACTTCGCTTTAAATGGATTTCTGGTACCTATATCAATATTTGCATGTTCTCAGAAAACAGTGGGAGATGCTGATGCCGATGTTGCTGGAGCAAAGGATGAACAAACCCGTCCCCGGGCTGTAACTGAAAAAGTCCCAAAGCTTCTCAGGTCTACATACACGATGGAGACTCAGCTCCAAGTGCCCCGGGCTCTGTCCTGCATCAAGCCAGGTGTCCATACCCAGCCGGGGCAACCAACAGCTCTTCCCACGGACCAGCTCCCGCTGCCCGGAGGCACTGCAAGACCGGTAATTACAGCCCTGGAAAGCCTGTCCTTTTGCTGAACTGCTGCCTTTAGCATGCCTCAGGTTATGACTTGGCTGATGGGCACCTGTGTGATCAAACCGCCTTCTCCATCTTCCCTCCCCCTCTTCTTTGATGAAGCCTAAATTGAATAATTATCATCATTGGAGCCCCAATTGAGAGGCTCAGCCCTGCCTTCCCTTTTATTTTCCAGTTACACCTGGTGTCTCAAAACCCTCAGCAACAGCTGCACATGATTTTTCATCTACCAAAAAAACCCCCCCAGAATCTGAAAAGGAAGCCAAAGAAGATTCCTTCTGGATGGCCAGAAAATACGTTGAGCAGGGCCTTGGTTTGCTTTTCATGAGCATGTGAGGCTGCGCCTGCACAGCAGGATGGCAGTTTCTGGGGACAAAGGAAGTGTTTTCATTACAGTTTGATCAATTGCTGCTGGTTATCTGCCCTCCGTTGGGAAGAGAAGGTTATAAAGAGAGCAGTTTGGTCCTGTGTGTGGGTTTGGTGGGAAAACCCCTTCGATGGCATCTCCGGGGCACTTCCTGGCTGATGAAGCCAGGCAGGAGCTGCCCCATAGAAAGGCAATGCAAAGCAGCTTGCTGCCCTCAACGGCCCCGGAATCGGACCCTCCATCCCTCTGTTTACAAAGGGCCCACCGAAAGCACGTGCCGTTAAATCTACCTGGCTCAAAGGTAATTTTTTTTATGGACAGAGAGGAAATCGGTTCATCCAGCGAGTTTATTCTTTACGACAGTGCTTATCTAGAAGCTACCAGTCTCTGAGGTGGTAAAACCCTTCGCCAACTCCCTGTCATCTTACCCACACTCACAGGCTTCTGCTTGGCAGCCAAGCCAGGGCCAAGCTCGAACTTCGCGTGGCTCGGTTCTGTGGCTCTCAGAGATCGCTGGAACCAAGACGCTCAACAGAGCACATTTGATTGGTTTCCCGTCTCAGAGTAAACACAAAACACAATGTATTTCCAAGAGCGTAAAGGTTTAAACATATTTACCCTTAGTAGGAAAGGGTAAAGACAATTAAGATCTTAGAGGAGCTGCAATCTCTGTACGTGCAGGAGATGGCATGGGGAGATTCAGCCAGCACGTCGCTCCATGTCAGCGGGTTCTGCGGGTGCCGCTGAAAGTAAGAAGAGTAGGAAACAGCCTTGGTTTTGCCAGTTGCTAGTTCCAAAGGCTTTGCCATATTTCACAGTTCCCAGAGAATTCGAGCAGAAGCGCAGGGTGGAAAACAGACAGTGAAATGTTATGGTGTGAAGGTGAAACTACCTGGAGGTTTGCAGGTGACCTGCGGCTGGAGAGCCAGCCATGCAGTTTGGAGAGCCGATTTTTCTCAGGGAGATTGGCTGGTGACAAGGACCTCGGATAAAGTGAAGTACAAGCAAAACTACTCAAAACTCAATAATTAGTTATTGGGAAAGCGTATTGCAGAAGCAAAGGTCACTGCAATGCAGAACAGAGGTGTGGGGGGGAGAGGAATGGCCAGGCGCTGCTCAGGGATAACAGCACTTCTGGTGTCATCCCAGAGACCTCTGTTCAAGGCTCTGCAGCTGTTATCACTGAGTATCAATGATGGTTGGCTTGTTGTTGTTGTCAAGTTTGATGTCAAGAAACTACTCAAGAGACTGATCTAATGAATCACGTCGTATCAGTCTAAAGTGACACCATCTGCAAAACCGAAGGAAGGTCGGTGCCAAATCACCTCTGGATTGGCATGAGCACTCCTCAGCAGCGTTACTGCTCCTCTTTCACAAAGCCCTGACAGGTCAGGGCCATTTCTGTTGGGAAGGATGGATAACTCATTAGAAGAGGCCATTAATTCCACTTCTTTGCTGGATACATTCAAGCACACTTACTAAAAAAAGCCCCAGAACAAAACCATTTTCCTGATATTACATCAAGTTTACTTTGTCTTTTCTACAGCCATATCATCCTGCCATAAATTGGTACCTCCTATGTGTAATTATTAACCAAAGGGTAGGATTGGTCTGCCTGGAAAAAGTAAAACCCAGCCAGTATTTCTGGGAGCTGCTATTTCATCACCAGTATTTATTCACATGGGTTTTGAGGATGGCAGTTACTTTTTTCTGTAGTCATTTTACAAGGTACAATAGAGATCATAAATTAACAAGTAATATATAGGAGGGGACTGTCCAGGTTTGACAAGACTGAGGCAACACAAGTTTTCCTCCAGAATAAGCGTGGATGTTTTGCAGCCCGCTCCAAGAAAGTCACGCACACCGCACAAAGTTGGAGCTCTGCCTCCCGCTGCTCGAGGAGCATCGCCACGGCCGTAAACAGCTGCTCTTCGTCTATGAGATACTGTTTGTGTCACAGAAAGTGACTAAGATATAGTCATGGGGAATCACACCAGAGTCCCTGTCCCAAAGAGCCCACGGTCTGAAGGACAGGGTTGGTCATCCAGTGGCTTCAGAGAGTCCCCCTGGCCACCCGGGCTGCCCCTGCGCTATTTCCATTACAAGACCAGCTCTCCTCCACCAAGTGTAAAATCTCCATGACAAATAAACACTTAGGGTCTGCTTTTCTTTCATTTCAGGAATAACTTAATCGGGTGTGTTTACCCAGCGTACAGCAGCCTAGGTGGGACAAGTGACTGGAAGAAGCCCTCGCCACATCCGACGTGAGCCAGAAGTAGAGTTTGAGTGTGCAGATGCTCAGGGGTAGCCAAAGGCGGCTCTTCACCAGCTCCACCACAGCCATTTTCCAAGTCTAACTAGCAACAGCCTCGTCACAAATGGAGACACACAAAAAAAGAGAAGGAGGCGTGTTATGAACAGCTTTTACCACACACAGAAATCAGGTCGGGGCTGGTTAGTGACCTGCACATCTCATAGTTGCAGATATGTGGGACTCTAAATCAGGCATTTCTATTTCTATGCCCAGAACGGGAGGAACTGCTAGAGGTTAGACTCACTGACCTCTTACAAACTCACCAGGGGAAGGCAAAGAAAGAAAAAATCCTCAAACCACCCCTGAGATACTACGGCTGCAAGAAAGACGTATGGAAAGGAGCCACGGGCACAGCCAAGGGGGCCCCTCGCCTGGAACAACACCAGTTGGAGAGCTTCATCTTTTCCCACCATCACTTTCAGGATCAAAACCTGCCCTTTGCTGTCCTTGAAGGTTACCTGCGATAATACATGACCTATCAGCACCTTTAATGAAAAGCCCAGCTGCTAAAAGCTGATTTTAAGAATACAAAGAAGTTTTAGACTTCCAATAAATAGAGAAACAGACCCTTATTTAAAAATAAAAAAAAATCAAACACTGGAGTTGACAAAAATATCCTTCACCTCATAAACAAAGGAAGCAGTTGAACTTTCACGCAGGCTGGGATGAGAGATTTTGCAATAACTAATCCAGAAGAAGGTATTTCATTTCCTGCTAATTTCAGCAGCTGCTGAAGCATTTTTCGGTGGCAGCGGAATCCGATTCAGAAAGACTTTGAGCACGCACAGCAGCACCGCACTCCTCCACCCCCAGAAGCGGCTGCATTACAGCAGCTTCGGAAGATGTACATCCGTCTTCAGCGCAGGGGTCCACTAACTACTCGTAGGCAGATTTACTTTCTGATAGACAGGGCTCAAGCATGAGCCACTCCACTCTCGTGAGACCCCACCTGAGTAGTGCATCCAGCTCTGGAATCCCCAACATAAGAAGGACACGGACCTGTGGGAGCGTGTCCAGACGAGAGCCACGAGGATGATCCGAGGGCTGGAGCACCTCTCCTATGAGAAGAGGCTGAAAGAGTTGGGGTTGTTCAGCCTGGAGAAGAGAAGGCTCCGGGGAGATCTTATTGTGGCCTTCCAGCACCTAAATGGGCTACAGGAGAGCTGGAGAAGGACTTTTTACAGGGGCATGTAGTGATAGAACGAGGGGGAATGGCTATAAACTGGAAGAAGGCAGGTTTAGATTAAACATTAGGAAGAAATTTTTTACTTTGAGGGTGGTGAGGCACTGGCCCAGGTTGCCCAGAGAAGCTGTGGCTGCCCCATCCCTGGAGGTGTTCAAGGCCAGGTTGGACAGGGCTTGGAGCAACCTGGGCTGGTGGGAGGTGTCCCTGCCTGCGGCAGGGGGGTTGGAACTCGATGATCTTCAAGGTCCCTTCCAACCTAAACCATTCTATGATTCTATGAAAAGCTGTGGTAACTGGCACTGTATGTAAAATACCGGGAGCTGGACGGTAGGTATCTGCACCGGGGCTGTGTGCGGGACTGTCCTTTGCAGGTGATGAACTTGCTGTGTGTACACAGCACCAAGAACGCATTGAGCAATACCCGCAAGTTGAATTCTCATTCGGATCACAGCAAATTGCTGCAGCTTGTAAGTTTTCTCCCACTACAGAGACCAAAGATCCATTAAGGCTG